CACTCCCCCCTCCTGAGGTACATGAATTCTACGGGGTCTTTGTATTCAGATGCAGCCATGGGCCTTCGCGTGTCCGTAGCCAGCGCCGGGCTGGAAGGTCACAGAAGAGAAGAATCCGCAAAAAGGATTAGAGCGCATTCAGGCTTCGCTGTCCAACTGCGTGATTATTCGCGAGAATCAGGCGGTCGGATCGCGAAGTATAGAATGCGCTCTCCGACAGAGATAGGTTTCGCTATTGCTCTACACGGGCGGAGTCTACGGGATTGTCTCGTACACTTCAGTCTTCCTGATTCCCCGATTCCCCATCTCTCTGTTTCTCAGATCAATACGTGTAAATTCCTTTTCGAGGAATCCCTGTTTCTCCAGCGGCACTGAGTTTAGAAACGATCTCACGTAATTGGCATACGGAATTAGCATTTGTGTGTTCTTGTAGCTTCTTCCGTTTAACTGAGCTTCTATTTTTCAGTCCTGGTACATCCGTTTCACTACCGCCTTCTGCTCGGCAAACACCAATGCGGTTCGGTGATGACGATCCTCACAGGTATCTTATTCGTTCATTCTCCGAAAATTCATGAGATATATGCATTCTTTATTTTTTCCATTTTTTCCTTTTATGCTAATTGATGTGGACCTATAATTGGAATTTCATTGTTGATCTTCTCTCTTTTTTTATTTAACATCTTAAAGGAGTTCACTTGGTTCGTCTGACTCGCATTCTTCGGTGGCCCGAAGTGAAGATTATTCACAGGATTATGTGGCCGAGGAAGACGAAACAGTCATCTGTGAGTGCTTTAGAATAATCTCAGTGGATTCTTTTTCTTTCTTTTTTTTGGAAAAAAGATGGCATCGTGAGACTCATCGAGTTCTGCCAGATGTATTTTCTATAGCTCATTTATTGTTAGGCTATGAAAAATGTTAAACATTTTGCGGTTAATAAAATCTCTTCCAGAGGGTTGTATTACTTCTGTATTTATCTCACATCACCGGTCTGTTATTGATTACTTACAGATCAATACACGGAACCAGATGCGGCACCACCACCTTCGAAGTTCACCACACTTCCGGCGAACTTTAATCCTTATCTGACGTACCGTGAAACCAGGGAGGATGAAGCGATGGAGTGCGATTAACGGGTTGTTCAACGAATGTGGTTAGCATTTTGCTGTTGTAGTTTGCTGACTTGTTTGATTATGCAACAGAAGTTCTTTTTAACCAACTGTTTATTTTTTTATTGATTTGATTATTTCAACCACTATGTGGGGTGGTTCAGTGGCTTTGTTACGAACCCCGAGGATTTGGGTGGTTTAACGGCGGCAGTGAGTTATGATATATTTATAAAATAGAATCGAACACGAATGGGAACCTAGGTTTCATCTTGGAAGTTGAAAGAAGGAAGAGTGATACACTTACCTGGCGAGGATCAGCTTGACTCCGTAACAGGTAAAAGGCGGCTTAGGGCTTAACGATGGATCGTCGTCTCAGATTGTGAGACGACGAGAGATGAGATCGTCGTAGGTCGTCGTCAGAGACGACGATACCGTAGTCCGTGTAGTACGCTACCTTTTGCCTTGACCGGTTGTTAAGGAAAAAGTGCCAAAATGTGTAGATGTTCTGATGCGGACAGAAGCTGGTGTTCAAAGGATTGGTGAAGGACATCATTCCAGTATTTTTTACTCAATGAGCGGTGGGTTCGGGAAATTGTTCCTGCTATGCGCACGGATTTCGCCGTGAAAACGGCGTTCATACTTTGCGGATGCGGAGAAAGCGGTGACAGAGAATTACACAACTATCTGCTGTAACTGCCCACTAATGAATCAGGCGTCCTTCGAAAACATTCATGGGCCGTTCGATCGATTCCTATGGACCCAGTTCGTTTCCTGTTCTCTCTCTCACACACATTTTCTCCAAAACCATAAACTCTACCTGTCGCTACGTGAACTGTTCTTTGTCGATATCCGGACCCATGGAAACTTTCAGGTTCAGGTGAGGTTTAAAGTCGTCATTGCAGTCAGTCTTAGTTTCTCAGCAGCGCATGGGTTTCGGCGTAGCGCCAGCCTTTCGAACACTACTCATTGAACGCTCGAAGCCTCAACCGTTGAAACGGGCGTACGCTTCGCCAGAACGAAGCGCTCCACTGACACGCCCCAACAGTCTCTAGTGATAATGACTGTACAGTCTTGTTTATTGCGGACGAAAGGGCATGTCAGGCGCAAGGTACATCGTTGTTGGGGAATCCCCAACAGGAGGGGTCGTATTTGGGCTGGGAAAAATTTATTTTGAAGAGTTCTCGCTTCAAGCGGAAACGTTGTGAAGCGTACTTGGTCATTGTTGGGAAGGGGGGTCGTCTTTTACGTTTTGGCTTCTGGCTTGGAGGGCGGTGGTCGACTCTCTATATTTTCCTGTTTCGTTAGCGTACTATATACCGGCCCCGCTACGGCCGATCCACCCTCTTTCGTAAAGTGAAATTCTTGAAGAATGGAGTAGGTGAACTTCGGGAATTTGGAAAAACTGGCAGGTAACTTGGGGACAATTGAGACATTGATAGAAGGGAAGTCGTATTCGGCTTCGGGCTATTGGCGTCGTTTTCCTGTTTCAGCGATGTGGCTATTTTACCCCCCACCATACCACCCCCTCCGTGCGACGATTGATTCGATGAGGGACACGGCCCGGAAAAGGAGGTAGTTGGTGACATAACAGCTGCACTCCGCCCCAAAGAAAAGGTTGGGGGATTTGTAGTGCATAGACTCGACTAAAACATCCCGACAAGCAAAATGCGTGTGGCCATATGGTCAGCGCGGGAATGGGTTGGTCAGCTGCGTAAGCAAACCGCCAGTTCACAAGTTGTAAGTTGTGGTTTGAGTGTTGAGACTGTCGGACGAGAGTGTTCTATTGGCACACGAGGAATAGACAACTGACATCACACGCCCCGACCACCGCACTGAGGGTCTTTTATAGACCTAATATGAACTATCACTGTTAACACAACCAATGTAAACAACCGCTCCATTTATCACTTAGGGCAGTGAGCTCATTAGTATTGAGCGGTCTGCCACAACACCTCCCCCCTAAGATGCAATGGTGGGATTGTTTTTTTATAAGCAAATAACAACATTCATCTTATTAATGGGTAAGTTCTTTTGTCTACATGTATGTCTTCTGATGTGGCTTGACTTGGAGTCGGCTCGGCGGTCGGCGGTTGCGTTGTGGGCGTTCTTTGAGCGGTGTGGTTTTCTTCCGTGATGAAGCTTCTGAATCTGAACAGTTGATTGTTGCATCTGGTGTTGCCATAGTCAATGGATTTTGGAACGACGTTTTCGCACGTTGTGCCGGTTCAGGTGATAAGTCGTAGCTTTCCAGTGATGTCTGTTCTGGTGTGGCGGCCATGCGTGGACGTAGTTGATTGGCATGACGACATTCCACGGCTTCATTCACGAGGACGTCGTATACTGTATTTCCGCGGCAGTTGAGGATCTTTCCTGGTATCCATTTCTTTCTGCCTCTTTGAAATGCTTTCACCCACGACCGAGGGCTCTTCTGGCTTGAACGATTTCATGCGGGCTCCATGGTGTCTGTTGAACTGATTCTCCATGGCTTCGTTCCGCGCCGTCGGTACGCTTCTAGGTGTCGTCAGAAGAGTGAGAGGCGTTCGGAGACGATGTCCTAGGAAGTTCTCTGCCGGTGATCGTTCTTCGGGTGAAGATGAGCATGGTGTGCTGCGGTAGGATAGCAAAAATTTCTGTACGGCCTCTGTTGTTGTTTCGGATTCCTTCAGCTTCTCCAATCCACGTTTGAAAGTGTCGACGAATCTTTCGACTTGTCCATTCGATTGTGGATGGTACGGGGGACTGCGTATATGGACGATTCCATTCGTTTTGCAGAAGTTCTCGAATTCCAATGAAGTGAATTGGCTTCCATTGTCCGAAACTAAGATTTCGGGATATCCATATCGGGTGCACACTCTGTTTAGTTGCCGTATTGTAGCCTTGCTTGTGGTTGCAGACATTTCCATGATTTCTGGCCATTTTGAGTATGCATCCACTATAATGAGGTACATCTTCCCATCAATTGGTCCTGCGAAATCCACATGAATACGTGACCATGGTTTCTGTTCGTATGGCCAGGAGAATAGCTGTGTCTTGACTGGTGCTTTTGCCGCTTCTTGACAGCTACTGCAGGTTCGAACATAATCTTCTATGTCCTTGGTGATATTTGTCCAGTAGACATATGAGCGGGCTAGGCTCTTCATTCTTGACATTCCGGGGTGCCCTTCGTGTAGAAGTTTCAGAACACGGTCCTTGAGCTTCGCTGGGATTACAATTCTTGGTCCAAAGAAAAGGCAGTCGTCTTGGAGCGAGAGAGACTGGCGGAGACTGAAGTACAAATCTTGATCTCCGGCGTGGAGGTTTCTTTGGCATTTGTCCAGCGGACCGTACTGGATCAACGCTCTTTCAGCGATGATTGTCTGCGCAGAGCCTTTTCTTTCTTCTGTGATCTGATTCATGTCCATGGGAATCTGTGCTTTCACAGCCTTGCATTCGAATTCAGCATCATTTGAGGCGTTTGCAATGATGATATCTTCGGTTTGCTCCTTCTGGTCGGCAATCAGTCACGTGGACAGTCGCATACGGCCTTGTCCCGAAATCTGTGGTTTTCCTGTATTCTATCTTGAAGTCATAACCACGAAGTATTAATGACCAGCGCAGTAGTCGATTTGCTGTGTATGCTGGCAAGCCTTTCTTGCTTCCAAATATAGAGACAAGCGGTTTATGGTCTGTGAGGAGAGTGAACTGGCGTCCCAGTAGATATCGATGAAATTTGCGAACTGCATAGACCAATGCAAGTCCTTCCTTCTCGATCTGACCATATTTCTTCTCTGCTTCTGTGAGAGTGTGTGCTGAAATTGACTTTCTCTTGGATCCAGATCTGCGAAGGCGGGTGGCATGGATACGCTCCAGCTGCCCAGAGTCCACGAAGCGTCCCTGCTGAGACAATGAGATCAATTGTGGGTCGATAGTGTGTTGAGCAGGAGTGGTGAGACCAAAATTTCTTTGGCCTTCTCAAAAGCGTTCTGACATTCGTTTGTCCATTTGAACTGAGCGTTCTTCTTCAGAAGGGCGTCGAGGGGAGCGCGAAGTTGGCATATTTCAGGAATGATATTGTTCTCGATAGTTAGTTTCAGCCACATTCGCGAGAAACGAACGGAGTTGTGCGATATCCTTCGGCTCTGGCATTTCAGTGATAGCGCGAATCTTTTCGGGATCTGGACGTCGACCATTGGCATCGATGATGTTTCCAAGATACTTGATCTCTGACATCATGAAATGGCATTTTTCTTTGTACTGTCGGAATCCCGTATAGCTATTCGTTGGAGAAGTGCTTCCAGGTTTTGGCGATGCTCCATAGTAGTGCGTCCGGTAACGATTATGTCGTCCAGATAAGCTGCGACGCCATGCAATCCTGCTATGAGTCGATAATCTGTTGGAATATGCCTGGAGCTGATTTCACTCCAAACGGTAGGCGATTATAGCGGAAAAGACCACGATGTGTGTTGATCGTGAGTAGTTCCTTTGACTCATCGTCCACTTCGATTTGTAGGTAAGAGGCACATTGCGTTGTGATCATTTCCTGAAAAATACGACCCCCCCCTAATTCCATCTTCAAGTACGACCCCCCTCCCCACGTTACCTCTTCCCTAGATTTTTCCAACCTCCTACCACTTTGTCTATTTTTTCCCAAAAAGTTTCTGGTTTTTTTTACAAAATTTTGCTGTCGAGCGGGGGGGGGGGTCGCAGTACCTACGTACGTCCCAAAGCACGTCCAGCAGCTGGCGCTGGTGTAGCATACTGACAATACGTACGAGGAAGGGGCGATGATAGGAGCTATGATACCGTCCACTATGAATTAACAAATGGAAAGGCTTACGCGACGAAGATGTACAACTAGATGAATGTACATTCCGCCGGACTTTTCCTGAGTGCCAGGAGCACATTTGCTTTGCCAATGGGCAGCCGCTAACTCACGCAAGTTATACCCTTTCAAACACCTGCGTGAAAGCCCCATGCATTGCATATGTGATGCCAATTGGCGCCCAATGGCCTATTACCTGATATGCTTGACGAAAACATGTGTT